CTACTGGTGGAGGGAATTAATGTGAATTCTCCATGCCAATTATCTCTCCGCTGACTGACCCAGGCGAGCAGTTCAACAAAGAAATCCTCTAAGCCTGGCTGTATTTCTGATGACTAGGTTGGCTGAGCGCAGAGCCAAAATCTGCAGCTTTGATGGATTCCGTAGCGAGGAAGGCTCCAGTCCGTTGAAGAGGAACGGCCTCGAACTCGGTACAAGTGAGCTTTTTTGAACATTTGGGGCCAGGGCTTTGTTTTTAGCGTGTGAGAGTGAGAAACCAGGGAAAATTTCACAGGGCTCAGAGCAGTGATTGTTAGTACAAGAGCGAGGTTTGAACTGGTAACGTCACTCATTGAAGATTTGCAAGCTGCAAGGACTGCTGCTGATGTGCAAAATGTATGAGAGAAGGGATGATTTTACATGAAGAATGTTACATGCAGGATAAGACGAGTCTCCTATTAAGCCCTCATCGGCGTATGTATAAAATTCAGCACTTATATCTGCTTAAAAGTTATGCATATGCTTAAATCCATCTGGATGTGACGTACTGTTCATACGCATGCCGAGTTGTGACCTAGGCTGTGGCTCTTTCATGGCGTGGATTGTCCTTTTATCTTATGTTTGTACAGCACCTAACACAGCTGATCCCTGGTTCATGCCTGTGGCCCCTAGGCATTTCCACGACTCTGAGTAACAGTTGATTCAGCGTGTGCTCGCATGATCTGACGACTTGAGGCTTTGATAGGTGACATTAAGTAGTGCGAGCGCTCTGCATTCACTTTGCTCAGGGTCGTATTTTACCAGCGTGGACAAACGAGCGGTGAGGTTGTCGCTGAGGACTAGAGCAGCGCGTCATGCTCCCGTCCCTGTCCCTGTGAGGAGGCACGTGTTGGCTTTCCTTGTGTGCAGTGCTTATCAGCGAAAGCTGGGCTGATGCATTCTGATTTCCAGCTCGGTCATGAATCTCGGCGTCTTAAGTTATTAAAGTCTGAATTAATAAAAGCTGACATCTGCATGGGTAATGCTGTCTCACTGGGGCAAGGACGCGGGATGATGAGTACTGAGGGTTTAGGGGGGACTGCTAATGGACTTGCCTCTTTTGCTACCCCTGAGTCTTGACTGACCTCTGTTATCACCTAGTTAGCTCCAGTGTAGCTGCACCTCTGTTCTGGTAGGACTGAGAGGCCCATGGTGGTCAGTGCCATGTGCCTACCTAGTCTGGACCTCAAGGCACTTGCAGTCCACCAGGACCAACCTGGGCATCTCCTACTCCTGACTTCATCTTGGCATCCCTGCTGCCCTCTCTGGAGTCCTGCCACCCTCCACCTCTCTCCTGTTCTTGTCTTGCGTCTGCCTCTAAGTACCGCTCGCCACGCTCCTGGGCCTCCTATTTAAGGAAAGGAAGTAAAAGAGGGAGAAGGGAAACCAAACAGATCTGTGCAGCATATCCTCATCTCTTCTAGGTCGAGGTACTGAGTGGAGGAGCCGTGTTCCTGTTCCCTTGGCTGTGTGTGGCGAGAGCCTGCTTTAATTGCTGTGCATGCAACAGCCTCCCTCTCCACCTCCCAGCCTCCGACGTGGGGCAAGGGATGCGCCTGCAACCGTCTTCCACGCTTAAATAGGTCACGCCAACCTTCGTCGTCTGCTCTCCTGGAGCGCGCGAGCTCCTTGGAGCAGGGGCCATCCTTGAGCCTTGGGAAGGGGCCTGGTGTAGAAGGGATGCTTCAGCTCGTTGATAATTGGACTCGGTTCTTCCAGGGAACAAGGTTTTTTGCAGTTGGCCACTGCAGCGCTGTTCTGTATGAGTCACTGCCTGCTGAATAGCAAGGGGAGCGCACGCTTGGGCCAAATGGAGCACTTGGAAAATAGCGCTGGATCTTCAGCGTCCGGCGGGGCTGGGCTGGGAGCAAGCAACTCGGACACTATGGAAAACAGTGATAATGCCGTGTGAAGTGACTAGCGAGCCTCCCTCCCTCCTACCCCCCCTTTTATTTTTTTTGCATAAAATGCTGTACTGCCGCTCCCAGGAGCAGCTTGTGGGAAAAGTCCTTTCTCGGCTCCGCCGTCCTCTGAGAGCTCTCATTCATATTGATGAATCGGTTGGTAAATACGCGTTAAAGCCTCCTTTATGCAAGCAACAAGGATTTCCAGCACGGCTGCTTTTGTCGCTGGGGAAAAACGCAGGGCTAGGTGCATTTTAACTAGAGTTGGGTTTGAGCTGCCAGACCCAGAACGCGAATGGCTGCAGATTCTGCAGTGCTGGTTTGCAGGTTTTTGGTTTGCAGCCATCTTTGATCGTAGCCGCTGGAGTTGCCCCAGGCAAATTAAATAGGATTAGTAGCAGGAGGGGTGGCTGAGTGGCTGCTCCCGTGGCAGTCCCCCCTGTTGTGATCATTGCTTTCTGATTTATGTGATCGGTTATTTTTTGCAAATCATGTTCCAGTAGCTCAGAGAGGGCCTGGCTAAGATTACTATCCGTGGTGTTAGGTGCTGTACAGATACGTGATGCAAGACGTAGCCCAGCCCAATGAGCTCACCAACTAATTGGGCAAAACGGACAAAAGGCATGTAGGAAGTATTGTTATTGTGCAGATGGGGAACGGAGGAGAATGAAAAGAGATGGCTTGCCCAAGGTTGCAGCGAGAGGCTGTGGCAGTACCAGAGGCCAAAACTTTATTTGTGAATCACAGTCCAGTGATTTTAAAACTAGACCATCTCTTGTCTGCAGCTAAGTCAGGAGGGTGTAGGAAAGTCCTACTGAAAATAGTGTTTGTACAGTTCAGCTGTAGATCATGCATTTTTATAGTTGATATATCTAGAGGGAACTGGTGAGGCGTGTTACCTTGATTCCAGGATCTATTATGAACACTCTCTAGATTAGTTTGCACTAAAAATTGGTCAGTCTCCACCCCCCACCCCTCCTTTTTCCATCTTTATGTGGATTCTGGCTCATTAACCAATATACTGATATAAGCTTTTGACTGGTGCATGCCCAGATCTGCAGTTAGGGGTTCATGGATATCCTGTCTTGATGGCTGTCTAAGTCGGTAGGTGTCTGAGATTCAGACAGAGGCCTAGTTCAGAGCTCCCTGGGTAGAAAAACAGGAGGAAGACGTCACAATGCTTGCTTATTACTATTGTTTTTTTAAATTTTTGAGCCTGAAGAATGGAAAAAAGTTTGGAATTAGACATTTTTAACTGTGTCCGCCAGTGCTGAAAACAGGAAGGGTGCTTTTTCCCTGTCCATTTTTGAAATTGCAAATTATTTCTAGATCTTGAATTATGAAAACTACTGACCAGTGTGCCCATGTGTCCTTGTACTTCTGCTCTGCAGTCATTCTGGCTATCAACCCAGGACAGTAGACTGAAAACCCTCATAGCAAGACTGACATTCTGCAAAGGGGATGTGTCTTAAGATACTGATAATGAAGGAATTTTCTCAGGCAAGGGTTGATGGGGCCAGCGCAGCAGGGAGTGTTTGTGTAATTGCCCTTCCTGACTGCATGGTGGCAGGAGGAGGAGGAGGGTATCAATCTCCCATCCTGGATCTGCTATCCCAGGCCCTAAGTTTGTGAAAGTGAAGATGGTGATGGGGATTTATTGGCAGTCCTAGCCTGCAAAAAGTTTTTTACATCCCATGAAGGGATCATAGAAACTGAGGGTGTGAAGGTCACATCTAGTCCAACCCCCTGTTCAAAGCAGGGCCAACTAGATCATCCCAGCCAAGGCTGTGTTGAATTGGGCCTTCAAAACCTCCAAGGGTGGAGATCCCATCACCTCTCCAGGTAACCTGTTCCAGTGCTTCACCATCCTCCTAGTGAGAGAGTTTTTCCTAATATCCAACCTAAACCTCCCTTGCTGCAGCTTGAGCCCACTGCTCCTTGTTCTGCCATCACTGAGAACAGTCCAGGTCTGTCCCCTTGCAGGTCACTGAAGGCTGCTATCAAATCCCCTCTCGGTCTTCTCTTCTGCAGACTAAATTAACCCAGTTCCCCCGCCCTTTCCTCATAAGTATATTGAATTTTAGCCAGACAGATGGATAGACTTGGATCCATAAGTGCATCTTCTGTTAGCTTCTGTGTTCTTCCTGCATGCGCGTGCACCATGCATGGTTTTGTTTGGTTTGTGAACTCGATGCAAAAACCTGCTCTGAAAGTGGGGACCCTCCCGAGCGTGCAAAATCTGGGCTGTCGTTGGTCTCCTGCATTCTCCTTTGGAGTCTGATTCCCCGAGTTGCCTCTGTCCCAGTCCTGGCACGATCCCATACTGTCTCCGCTTCATCCTCTTGGTTACCAGGAGGTTAATGCTCTTGTTCTGCTTCTGTCCATGAAAATGTCTCCACTACCTAGGCACAACCAGGAATATTTATGTTTCCACATCCGTCTCTTTTCAGAGATGCATTTATGTTTGTACACATCATCTATTTTTGTAAAATTTCCCCTAAATTTAAACAAGCGTTGAGTTTTTGCTGCCATCTAATCAGCTCCTCCAAGGCTAGGTTGAAGTTCTGTATTTAGTCTGGTTTTCAAGCTACGCTGTTTAAAAGCGGAGCAAATAAGACTTTCTTCTAGGCACTTCCTTTGCATTTTTTTTCCTCCCTCTTCACATTTCACTGCTGCTTCTGTATTTACTGTCTCGTGATTGTGTTTCCCCCACACGTCCTAGGAGCATATGTCAGCACGACTATTTGTATACTTTTCTGAACATATTTAAAATAATTTGCCGCCAGGAAGAGTGTGTGGTCTATTTTGCCATGAAAAGTGTAGCTGCGGTTCGGATGTGAACTGAAATATCAAATGTTTATAGAAGATGACACAGCAAAGCTGTTTGCAATATGGTGCATAATCCTCGGTGATGCCAGCCAGCTTGTTTACCCTGGTGTGCACTAGGGGAAAAAAAAATTTGAAGCAAAAATAATGAAATGGTGTGTTTGTGTTCATCCATATTTCAGATGTGCTATTAAAAGACAGAATGTAGCAGCTCTAATTTTTTTTTTCCTCTAGAGTCAGGCAAGGACTTTGATTATTTGGACTGGACTGACCTGGGAGTGGTATGAGAAAGGCCCTGCCCTTAAGAGCTTTACGGTGAGGATCACATGGAGGAGAAAGTCTAGGTTGGACATGCTCTTTCTCCTACTCACAACTGATGGTCTCCTCTCTCCTTCAGGACCTAGGCCTTACACGAGAGCTTATGGAGGATATGTGTAGAAAGAGCATCTCCTAGACCAGGGGAGGGCAAAATATGGCCCGGGAGCCAGATCTGGCCCACCAGGCCATTCTATCTGGCCTGCGGGGCCCCTAAAAAACTTAGAAAATTAATATTTATTTGCTCCTAGTTGCCTGTCAAAGATGACAGGAGCCGGGGGCAGTAGGACCCAAAGGCAGCTAGTGGCAGGACCCAGCAGCAAGGTCTGCCCAGCCCTTGCCCCCCAACCAGAAACCCCTGCCTAGCAAAGGCTTCTGGCCTGGACCATGGTGCTGTTCCTGCTTCCCTGAGCCAGAAAGGGAAATGCAGCCCTCAAAATAATTGCCTGCCCCTGTCCTAGACTATCTCCCACTCACAATGGAAGGTCTCCTCTTCCCCTCAAGACCTAACCTTGACACAAGAGCTTATGGCAGCGTGCATGTGTGCAGGCCAGCTGGTTCCTTGCTATTTCCAGCTCCTTCCATAAATGCATGCATTTTTCCTTGCAGTGAAGGACCAAGATGAACAAGGTTCAGCACTATGAGGGCAAGCAGCTCTCTGTGGGCCCTGGAGTGTAGGTGCTGCTATCCAGCTCCCTTCACCATGCTGAGTACCACAGTATTAGAGACAGGATGATCAGTGCAAGAGCTTGGGTTTAGAGGCCTTCAGTGTTTTCTTGGATGTACATGTGTCAAGTGATCAGCTTCATTTATGCCCCTGCTCTTCCCCCTTTCTCTTGTGGTCTAGGTTGCATGGTTGGACCCTGGAAATGGGATGTCCATCCCATTCAGGGAACATAAAGGAAGAAAGAAAATCTCCTAGCTGGTGCTGCAGCCTCCGCAACCGGGAGTGAGATCCGGAGGTGGGAACATGTCGACGGTCACCTCAGCGATCCAGGCTCCTCAGGGCCCTGTCAATCCACCGCCCCCAGAAGTCACCAACCCCAACAAGCCTGGGCGGAAAACCAACCAGTTGCAGTACATGCAAAATGTAGTGGTGAAGACCTTGTGGAAGCATCAGTTTGCTTGGCCCTTCTACCAACCCGTGGATGCAATTAAGTTGAACTTACCAGTAAGCATTCCTCTTTGTATTCTGCTCCGCGAAAGCTTTGCACAGTTTGACTTCCTGTGATCGCGGCGTGAACAGATTTCTTTTTAAGTTTCCGACTCCTCATAGATTCATAGATGTTAGGGTCGGAAGGGACCTCAATAGATCATCGAGTCTAACCCCTTGCATAGGCATCCTCATTCTTAGTCGTGTCCGGAAGGGGGGTCATTCTTTGCCAAACTGTACCCTGAATATCCAACAGACGGCCTTACTCCAACCTGATGTCTTCATGACTGCTGGAAGGGAAGTTAGTTTTGATCAAATTTTAGAAGGAGTATTTGGGGGCAGGGGGTTTATGTATGCATATGTGTGTCTATCTATATCTCTATAGAGCTATAGATATTTGTATGTATGTACAGATGTATGCATGTATAGATATATATTTAAAGCACTTGTCAGACTCTATTGTCTCTGGGCTTTTTTTTATAGATGAGACTGTATCTGTAACATTAATCTTCTGACTGGGCTCAGAGAGACGGTATAAAGACAATGTGCTGGAGATTGTCCTGAAATATTTGGGGCAGCCGTGGCTGTTGGTGCACTAAAGAATTGCACTAGTGTTTCCGTTCCATTTGAAGCTCTCTTGGTGTTGTATCAAGCTCAGCAAGCACGCGGGGTCGTTTTTGGTTATACTTTTTAAAGAAGCCTCCAAAAGTCCTAGTTTCTGCTGTTGAAGATCAGGAGCTCAGTTTTTTTTCCTTTGGCGGTTTATACATCCGTCTCATGGATTTCAGTAGGGGGGCAACAAATAATGTCTCTGTTCACATTTAGCGTGTGTGTGCCTGCTTCAGGTCTCTGCTAGCTAAAATCTTTCAAAGAAAATGGGTCTGACGGTGAGTTGTAGGTCCCACCTGCATTCACAGCAGCAGAGGGATTGCGGTTCGGGTTTCCCGATGTGCTAATCCTCCCGAGATTTCATGGATTTCAGGTTTGATCCTTTTCCGGCCCCATCAGGCCCAGAACAAAAGGAGGGTTATGAAGTTGGGTGTGTGTACGTGGATATAGACATTTTACTTAGTTAGAATTTTTTAATCCCATTTGGCGACCTCTTATGTCTGCCAATACTCTACTGGTTCTAGCTTTTTAGACTGGCCCTTTCCCTCCCCCCTAAAGAAACTAGGGTTTCTGTGCAGGAAAATACCTTCTGCTATAGCATTCACCCAAAGCCGCTGCTTTGCACCTGCTATTCTTGTGGGGGGAAACTCTTCTTACGAGAGTATTCGAGGGTTTTCCCATCTCCCGTTCCAGATCATAGACACCTTACCTGTAAATTTGACTAGCTTGGGAGCACTTCAGCACACCTAGTTTAATTTAAGTTCTATTTCCAATTAGTTTTCTGGGCTTTTCCCTCCACTGTGGTGCTGAGGAAGAGCAGAAGGAAGTGCCCAGCATCAAAGGGCAACTGGATGGAAGCAGAAGCAGAGGAAACGGCCCCGGAGGCAGTGTCTGTGCCCCTTGGATTGGCAGCAAGGCTCCCATCGTGTCAGTCTTGGCCACGTAACGAGAGAGGAAGCTGAGTTCATAACTTGGCCTTTTACTGAGCTGTTTCGCCTCCGTGTTCCGATTCATGCCCTCCTGTTTCTCCCCAGTGATCTTGGGCAAGCAGGCAGCAACTCGGTACAAAGCCTAGGCACTTCCTTCATGGAGACATGACCCCTTCCTTATACCTCTGTGCACGTGGGTCTGGGCAAGCCGTCCCAAATTAGCTCGAGTGGCTTTGTGATGAGTTCTGTAATTGCATATATGATTCAAGACAGCGTGACGCTGTGATGTAAGCTCCGGTGACCTCTAGTTACCACAAGTTATTACCCGGTTTTATGGACTGGATCAAGATCTTTTGAAGTCCATAATGTTAATAGGCTCTATTTAAAATAGTGGCCAGAAGAATAAAATGCTTTAGCACATCTGTGCCATATTTCAGTGCTGCTTCACTCCTCGGTGTCTTCTTTTTATGGATTTAGTTTCCTAGTGAGGAGTTTTTATAGTGGCTCTAAGAGCAGGTTGGGGAGAAATTTAAGGAATCAGTTGGTTGGAAAAATTGTTGCTTTTCGAGACCGGTTTAAATGCAGCCGGTCCAAGCCGGGAAACTTGAGCTGAGTCTCCGCTTCCTTCCTCAGTGGCCCCTCAAAGGGAGGCAGTTGGTGTCTCAAATCCTTCCTTGATATCAGATGCAGAGATGACTAGAGATTATGCAGGCACCCCGGTGCCTTCATGCTGATGGTAAACGGCACCTTTTTCAACCCCCTTCTCTGGGGGACAGTCCTGGGTTAGTGCAGAATTTGCAGGTGCATAAATCCAGTCCAGATGAGGCACCAGCTGATGTGGGGACCCCGGGTGAGAGGTTTTCAGGAAGCCTGTTCACTGCGATTTTTAGGCAATGCTGCGTCCCATCTGTCCAATGTCCACTTCTGGAAAGGTTGTCTATTAGCAATCATCCATTACCTGGCATCATGGCATCTTCTAGGAGCTCACCTGATCCGTGATCAAGGCCTTGTAGTTGTTATGTAGACAGCTAACACGACTATCTGGTTGCCCATATATAAAAATGCCCTTGATCTGTAGTGAACCTGGACTCTCAGCTGGGTTCAGTTTAGCTATGTAGTATCCCTCCATTCTGCAGTAGAAACCACAAGTGAATTTATAACCATGCAGGGAGCAGCAGGATTCAAACCAGGTTCCAAAAGCTTAGTGGAAAAACCCCTATTTTTCCCTGATCTTTATGTGCAAAATACAGTATTATTATATATGTATCTTTTTAAACGGAGATAATCCCTTTTTGCTCAGCAGGAGAGGACTATATATTCACGTTCGCATAAGAAATTCTGAGGTTTATTCATAATGTCCCTTTTCACGAGTGAAGAATGGGTTAAAAGCTCTCGGTTTTGGAGTAAGTGAAAGCAGAGCTTCTGCTAGGAGTCTGAGCAAGGAGCAGGAGTGTGTTTTATGCATGCTCGGAAGCAGAGAAAGGCGCTTCATTGCCGCTGAACAAAACCCTCTGAACCAGTATTGTCAGGTGTTAATGCCTCTTTCCTTTTCTTGAGCAGGATTATCACAAAATAATCAAAAACCCGATGGACATGGGGACGATCAAGAAGCGGCTGGAACATAACTATTACTGGAGTGCCAGTGAATGTATGCAGGATTTCAACACAATGTTTACAAACTGTTATATCTACAACAAGGTAAAGGAGCCAAGCAATCGGTATAGCATGTGAGGCTGTTACGCTGTAACATTTAACTTGGGATAACTCCCAAGTTAACTCGGGTTAACTTTGTGTGCAAAGCCCTCCTTGCCGCGCTTTGAAATGCCGCTGATGGCAGTCGCATTTCTTTAAGCAAAGCTCTTTTTATATGTTTCTTCCCGGGCATCAGTATAAATGCTGATCTGTTCTAAAGTAGGTAGAGTTCTTCCTATCTTGGGGATTGAGCAACTTGAGACTTTTCAGCCCTTCAAATTGCATTTAGGAAGTCTTTCCGATTAGCTGGCACTTGTCCGTCACTATGTAGGTGTGATGTGGAACGTAAGTGCTAAGTGTTACGTCTCCTTGTCTAGTAAATGGTAACTAAAACCATTACCCTCTTAGCAGCAAGGGGCAGGATGGCAAATCCTATCATAACTCGTTCTTCCCCTGCCTTGCCAGCTTTTGTGCGCTTTGTCAGTAGCTTATTGATTGTGCGTGTGTGTGCGCGTGTACGTGCTCATGTATTTAAAGTGCATTTTATTCCTCATAGTAGTTTTCTGAAGGCCATTTGTCATCATTGACTCTAGCTAGGGAGAAAGCTGGACTAAGCAAATTTAATTAGTTTATGCTACAGAGCGGGGGGACCTGTTTCTGATATCATGGCAGGGGGAATGAGAGCTCATCTGTTCCAGCTCTTTGCCTCCAAGCTGATACGTAGCACAGTGTTGATTTGGGCTCCACAAGATGCTGTCATCTTATTCTCCTGTATTTCAAGGCTGTAGCTTGCTAGCTAGTCCAGGACAGAAAGGAGAGAGAGGGAAAGCAGTATGTTAATTTTCAGAGCTAGGAGAGAGTTAGGTAGTTGGAAGAGACTGTCCAACCTCCTGCCTAAATGTGGGATGTGCTGTTTCTAAACCATCCCAGAAAAATGCTTACTGGCATCATCTGAAAAAAAAAGCTTTGGGAAGGAGATGCCAAAACTTCCTGGGTAACTTGTTCCATTGCCTTATCATTCATACTAAGAAGTGTTTTGTGAGCTTCAGTCTAAATCTTCTTTGCTGTATTTTAAACCCGCTGCCTCTTGTCTTGCCTTCCTGCGGCGGGGGAGAACAGGTGTTTTCCCATATCTCTATGGCAGCTTTTCAAATATTTGAAAATACTGTCATGTTGCATTATGGAACCTGTCCTGTTTTCCAGGCACCGAAGGCACCGTGACATGACGTGACATTGGTGCCTTCAGTCCCTGGAAAACAGGACAGGCTCCTGCCAAGAGAGGAATGAAACCATGAACTTGTAAGGGTTGTCAGCGTGTCTGTGTGCTCCTCGGATGTGAGCGATGCTAGCGCTGCCTTGTCCTCTGCCCCCGCAGCCCACGGATGACATCGTCCTCATGGCTCAAGCCCTGGAGAAGATTTTTCTGCAGAAAGTGGCCCAGATGCCTCAGGAGGAAGTTGAATTGTTGCCGCCGGTTCCAAAAGGCAAAGGTCGCAAGCCAGCAGCAAGCGGACAGAGTGCAGGTTAGTAGCCAACCAGGTTCGTTTAGGTGCGAGAAGGCTGTCGGTGGTCCCCGACCTAACTTCTGCCCTCCCTCACTAGCCAAACATGGAGGAGGATAGGAAAGGAGCACGGCCTCACGCTTAGGACAATGCAGCTGGACCAAAGTCATCTGGATCCTGCTCACCCACCGATTCAGGGCTTGTCTGTTTGCATAAGACATTCGCTTGGCTCTTGTAACAAAACTGCCTCAGCAGCTTGCAGGCTGTCCTACGTTCATCCTCACAGCATCCCTGTGAAGTGGGGCAGTGCTGTTTTCCCCATTGTACAGCTGGGAAACTGAGGTATGAAGCAAGTAGGATCCAGCTCTACGGAGTTGCTTAGGTGCCTCACGCCCATTGATTTCTGTGGGAGTTAGGTACCTAAATACCTTTAAACCCTATGTGATTAGCCCATGGTCACACAGGAAATGTGTAGCAAAGCAGGGACTTGGACCAGGTCTCTTAAATCCTTCCAAGCACCCTAAGTCCCTGGCTTGCTTTCCTGTCTACACCCAGATTGGCACCAGGGTAATGAGAGAGGTGCTTTAAAAACTGTTGGGTTAAGATAGTTCAGAAGATGGTGCGAGCGCGCTTAGGTCAGTTGGAAGTGGGTCTGTTTCTAATTAGGGTGATTTGGATCAATCCGAAGGCTCGTTTGTGGTAAGCTGCCTTTCCACTGAAATCAGATTGCCCATGCTAGGTTTGTGCTAGTTTAGCTGAGCATGGGATCCAACCCCCAATTTGTACAGCTGCAAGTCTTTGTGTTAAACAGCTCTAACTTGCAGCTTTGGGCAAATTCCCCAAATCCCATTTGTGCCTCAGTTTCCCTGTGTCAAGCACAGCTAAAACTTTGCAGGGATGCTGTTACATGTGGGGTGATATGCTTGTGAGGACCCTTTGGCGAGAGTTGCTGCAAAAATGCAAAAGCTGTGTATCACTTTAGCCTGGTAGGAAATATTGGTGTGAATATTCCCCCTCTTTTTGAACCTTTGCACCTCCTAAAATGCCGCGCTGTGTAGTGGGTAGAAGCCTGCATCTGTATAACGGGGGAAGGACAGGAGATCAGGTTCAAAGCAAAGCCGGATTGAGTCCAGTTGGATTTTTTTCCCCCCAGTCCCTCGCTGCTTTGCTCAGTGCAGGCTGTCAGGGGGGTACTAGAGACGGTGCTGTTCTGGGACCGGGCTTGGCTTGCGTGTGGGACTCCCGACAGTGGAAGGGCCTGTCACTTCCCGTAGTATCTGGAGGCAACAGCCCCTCCTGTCGAGCATGGCTGCTACATCACTCACGTTGAATCTTGTTGTCCCAAAGGAGCACAGCAGGCAGCAGCCGTGTCCTCTGTCTCCCCGCCGGCCCCTTTCCAGAACGTCCCTCCCGCCGTGTCGCAGACGCCGGTTATCGCTGCCACGCCAGTGCCAACCATCACTGCAAACGTCCCGCCTGTCACTGCCCCTCCCGCCGCCGCTCCCCCTCCTCCCGCCGCGCCGATCATGCCGGTGGTTCCTCCGACGCCACCGGTAGTCAAGGTAATCCAGAAGTCCAAGGCCCTTTCTCTCTGGGATCCGCAGTCGCGGTAGGCGGCACGGTGCCATAACCGCTGGTTAGAAACAAGTCGTTTCCATTTGCGTTTGCCTTGCCAGCTCTCCAGCCATCACTGAAGTTAAAGCCTTTCGGAGGCCACAAGCCTGTATCCCACCTCTGTCCAAGGAATCTCTCCTTTGCAAGAGTTTGGTAGACTTGTCCCTTTACGGTTTGCTGAATCAAGCCTAAATAATATAAAGTTTGCAGAATCGAGCCTAAAGAATAGGTGAAGGCCTTTCCAGCGCCACTGCGCAGTTCAGTAAGAGTCCAGCCCTGCAGTCTTGCCTCTAGTGTAGGCACTGGGAGTTGTGCCTCAGTGATGCCTTCAGGCTGGATCTCCCGGTAGATGGTATTGGCATTGTCTGCCCATTTCAGACCAGTACTGTCACTGGGAGGAGCAAGTTCCACTCCCCAAATCCCCTTTCCTGACTGTGCTCTGCTTCTGGTTGTGTCCCTGCATAGTGCAGTTCAGGTTGTCAGTTTGCTTGCTTAGTGGAGGGCAGCATTATGATTAGGAGCAATGCAATGGAAATATGGCTTGGGAACCCAAAGATTTCTTTCCTGCTTGAAATTTAACTTCAAACTCTTGGTGCTGACTGGAGAGGCAGAGTTGCCTAGCAAATGATGCTGCATGGAGACTCAGGAGACCTGACTTGTTTTCTTGCCTCTGCTGCTGGCCTGCTGGGTGACCATGGGCAGGTCACTTGTCCTCTCTATTTCAGTTTCCCCATCTGTAAAATGGGGAGATGGATTCTGAGCACCTCTGTGAAGCGCTTGGAGACCTACTCGCTGGAAATGCTAGCTGAGAGCTAGGTATAATTCTTTGTAGAATTATAAACAACAATAATCTGGAATTATTCGTTGTTTATAAGCCGATACCACCCAGAGGCTAACGAACGTGTGCCGGGTGAGATCCAAATATAGTTAAGCGGCGTTGCTATTAATGGGGTACTACAGTGTGAAAGCTTTTTGCATGCTACCCTCTAATCAAAGAGGGCACCATCGTGCCGGAGCTACCTGTGTCATAAGTTTTCAAATTAATGCCACGAGTTGAGGTAACGTTGCATCTGCAGGAGTTAGGAGCACAGAGCTTTCTTCCTTCCCCAAATGCAGCTTCCATTTAGGAATGGAGGAGGAAGAGATTGCTTCAGGTATTCCCTCCCTCCTTTCCCTCCTATTTCCCCCCACAAAGTCCTTTTTTTAATCCTGATATATTCCATGAACAAGCAACTCTTTTGCTCAGGATCAGCTTGTACGTAGGCATATTTCCCTTCCACGTTACAGAAGCAACCAAAATTAGAGTGGTTGAAGTAACACTTCAAAGCGGTCACTGCTGCAAAATGCTCTTCTCCCCACCAGATTCACAAGGAAAGCTAATTTTTTTCAGAGGAATAAAGAGCTGCTGCGGAGAAAAGGACGGGAGGAATTGCACTGTGGGTCTTCATGGCCTGTATGTGGTCTGTTTTGCTTGGGGCCAGACCGTGAAGTGCTTGCTGTCCTGCATCGGGCATTAACTTGCCGGTGTAGTTCTCCTGAATACAGGTGTCATGGCTCGCAAGCCTGGCCTTCAGTCAACATGTCAGGTTACAAAATAGGGCCTGACCTCGCATGTTAGTGTCCAGCTCCATTTGCTTCATTGTAGTAATGCCCAAGGGTTTGCTTCTCCTATCACTAACACCTGTGATATCAGGGTGGGGGGGCGGATATTGAGGCCCCAGGACTTGTGCCAGTGTCAGGCCCCCGGTTGGCACCTGCTTACGTAGGCTGTCAGCTGGACAAACGTTCACAACCTCTGTCTGCTCTCTCACCTTTCAGAAAAAGGGAGTGAAGCGAAAAGCAGACACGACCACCCCCACCACGTCCGCCATCACTGCCAGCCGGAGCGAGTCGCCCACGCCATTGTCCGACCCGAAGCAGGCGAAAGTGGTCGCGCGGCGCGAGAGCGGCGGCCGACCCATCAAACCACCAAAGAAAGACCTCGAGGATGGGGAGGTCCCGCAGCACGCGGGGAAGAAGGGCAAACTCTCTGAGCACCTCAAGTACTGTGACAGCATCCTCAAGGAGATGCTCTCTAAGAAACACGCTGCCTACGCATGGCCCTTTTACAAGCCTGTCGATGCAGAGGCCTTGGAATTACATGACTATCACGATATTATCAAACACCCTATGGATCTCAGTACTGTTAAAGTATGTCCACGTTTACCACCTCTTTTATAGGGTGCCTTAACTCCTCTGGTGGCGAATATAAGATGGGCAAGAGCTCTTGAAGAGGGGCAGCACTTGGCCAGGGAGGGGTGGTGGAAAATTAACCTGAGGTGTGGAACATTTGGAGGTTTTACCATTTGGTTTCCCTTTCTCCATGTCCTGGAACGATTTTCCCTGCTCTCTATTCCAGACAGTCGGATGCTAGCCGCTCTCTTTGCAGATTGTCTGGCTGTTTAAACCAATGCGGGAGGCTCCGAAGTGCTGATGGGCAGTGTTTTATGGGGTTTCATCACTAGGGCACCATATATACAGCAACCACTACCTTCCTCTCTGTTACTGGTTTGGCTTTGTATGGCCCTATGTTGTGGGACTTCACATGGGAGCTGAACATGACCTGGTCGTTGGACGGTGGCTGACCTTGCAAATGTAGCAGTATTACGAGTTGGCAGTAGTTCCCGGCTGCCTCTTTCGAAGGCAGCTCTTTCAGCTTACCTTGTTATGGTCCAATCCGCAGGATGCTTTTATTTAGGGGAGTAAAGGTTTCTCTGAATCCTTCTGGAGTATCCTTGAAGGTTTCCTACTCTGCCTTCTCATCTTTAGGGCTCCAGATTGCTACCACTGTTTTGCCGGTCAGCTGGCTGTAGGACTCTCAGTTGGCGGAGGTGAGATGTTCCTCCACGTGCAGGAGGCTAAGGCTGTTTCTGCTAGCTTTTGCTGTTACGTTGAGGGTCTTCTCTGGGTGAAGCCAGTGAATGATGCTTTCCAAAATACCCATGTGATGTAAGACCAACAATGCGCCCAGTCTCTGTCATTTAAGTACCTTGGCAGATGTTCCCCAGTCTCTGTAAGCACTGTAGCCATGGTCCAGCACACTACATCATGCTGTAACAATGCTATAGTTTGGGGGTACTACAGCAGCATGTTCTCCCTAAGAGGTGGGCATTTTGTCAGTGTGGCCTGCTACACTGTACGTGAGGCTAGGTGCTAACGGTCCTGACCCCATCTCTGGCACCAAGGGCTTGGATGAGTGACTTCACCTTCCTCTGCCTCAGTTTCCTCCCTGCGCTCTGTAAAATGTGTATACCGATACTTACCTACCTCACAGGGGTGTTGTGAGGACAAGTCTATAAGGCACTTATCCAAGTGCGAAGCAGTATGATCTCCAACGCCGAGTCCAGGGCAGTCAGCTCCGTGCTGGCAGAGACACCACAAGCAGCCCCTTTGGGAGTCGTGGCCCAGCCCTGGCGTTGTGAGCTTCCACGGGCCTTCACTCCTTTAAGCCAGAGCCATTGTTGCACTCAGCATCTCTCTTTTTAGATTTGCCACTGAGCCAACCCGAGCTAAAGCCTCCAGCACTTCCTGGAAGGAGGCAAAGTAGAGTGGAGCTTGCGAGTGTCAGTCCTACGGTGGAGAGGATGCTGGTGTGGGCTAGAGCAGTGTTTCTCAACCTTTTAAGTAGCAAGTACCCCCTAACTTCTGAAAATGTTAATAAGTACCCCAACACTCAGTTTTCCAGGGGGTTTTATATTTACACACTAATGTGTGCTATATGTTGGAAGAAGGGCTGTGTATATAAGTCCATGATATGACAGATGTCTGATCTGGTGTGGCCACTTTTTACACCAGGGGTGCACAACTCAAATACGTATCTGGGCTAGAAGTGATGTTGCCCAAAGCTAGGAGGGCTGAACCCAGGGCCAAATTCTTACTGGGGAGGGCACACCAAATTATTACTGGGGAATTTTAATGTGCGGCGCACCAAATTTTTTGCCATAGTTTTGAGAGGAAAAGGGGACGAGAGAGAGTGTTGGGGTACCCATGTACCCCCTGCCTGTCTTGCATACCCCTGGGGTACACGTACCACAGGTTGAGAAACTATGGGCTAGAGGATGGTGACTAGAGGAGGCTGGGGGGTGTCTTGAATTGCAAGCCAGATGTGGGTAGCAGCACGTAGCGGCTCTGGAAAAGGTTGGATTGAATCTGGGAGTCTGGGAGACTGGAAGACATGTCTTCAGTGCTGGCTGTGGACAGGGCTTCAGAGTTTTATTTATTAGGTTTCCCTTCCCTCAGGAGCCTGGGAGAGGTATAGCTGGCATCTCGCCGTCCTTGGGTGATAAGCAGTGGAGGCTCTTGGCTGTGTCCTGCTGTGAGGACAGTCTTCCATCTCCTGCATGGGTCCCATTGAAGTCGGTGGGACTTACAAGGCTTCATCCATATAAATTGGATCACTAGACCATTACTGGGTCACTCGCAGATGTCACCAGGTCCCGATTTCGTCGTAGCCAGTGGCAAAACTCTTGTTCGTGGCACAGCCAGCAGGATGGGGCCCCAATTGAGACTTTTGATTGGTATTTGAGTGCTCCTCCTTGGGTCCTCTTGGAGCAGCTGCGGATGTGGTTGGGCTGGCTAATTATGAAGCGCTTAGGCTGGCTGGATGTCCACTGCTCAGTAAACTGCATGTGCTGTGTCCACAGTTTTACTAGCTTGCATGCCACCGTCCATCTCGCAAGGGGGTGAAGATACCGGATGGATTTAATGGGAGTTGGGGAGGATATTTGTTTCTACCTCAAGCCTTTACAGCTTGCATGACACTGATTGTAATTGTAGTAATAGGATTATTTTGGCTATTGGTAGCATCTTCCCTAGTAGTCTGCACGGAACAGTCCCTAAATCATAGGTAGCCAAGTGTCCCTTGACTAACCCACTCAGGCAGTACATTGACACCAACAAGACTTTATATGGCCTCCTTGAGCCGGCAAGGCACTGAGCGCATTCAAGTCTGCTTGACTTAGTTTTACTGCATGTGAAGAAGGCAAGTAGGAAGAAAGAGGAGTGACGTTCTGACTCTGTTGAAATCAATGGCAACGTTATCGTTGCTTCTAGCAAGGCCAGGGTTTTGTCCAAGGATTATATCGGAGTACAATGCTTTAGACAAGTTGTGTGCTATTAAGATGTAGACATCTCTGGTTTTTGTCTGGCTTTGCATTGATGCTCAGCTCCTTCCTTTCAATCCGTGTTCTTATGGACCTTGAGTCCTTTCTTTGATCTGATCGCACTGTTTAAGCAACTGAGTGGTGTTCTGCCCCTTGCTTACAACTGTGTAGAAGATGCAAGACAAGTCATGGCTGCTGCATAATCCTTTGTATGTATAGATGCCGGAGCTGACTTTCATATAGTGCTGTAGTTACTCAAATATTAAATGAGGTTTTATTCCCCAATAAACATGTGGGGGGGAAGCTCCTTGTCCAATATCCACAGACAAGAAAACCTCATTAAATTCATTATCTATCATTAAACTGCTGCCTAAAGCAGCATGTGCTGAATAATGGAAACCAACTATGAAGTTGATTAAATGCAACCAGTACTGAGCAAGACTATAAAACACACGGCCCATATTGGGCAAACATACTTATGAGAACCTTTCACAAAGATAGGTTAATTTAGCCTATCTGAATAAGATATATTGTAGTGCCCATGGCACTAATCCATGATATATCACTGTATACCTATATATAATATATACAATATAGTGTGTGTGTGTGTGTGTGTATATATAATATATACAATATATAATACAGTGAGATGTATATATACACACACATAGACACACTATATATACACTTACCCAGCAGGGGCAATAGCATGATGTTGCTGTTGGCCCAAGTGGTTTTACTGTATTTGGCAAGGGAGATCCCCTTCTTTCCAGCCTTGAATGACTTGATGTAGTTGAGTGTGGAAACCTGCCCATTGCATTGTGGATGGGCACTCCTACGAGAGTCTACTGTAGCTTCCTGATGGGAGGATCTCGGTTATACATTTTATGGCAATGGGGGATTGCTCTTGGGTTTTCCCTCTAGCATGTTCCTACAGCCTTTTGGTTAGGGGCAGCCGAAACTAGGGAGCATCTGAATCCCCAGGTTTCTGGGGCTTGGGGCTTGCACGTAGGATGCCTGCCATGGATTTGGGAGTATCTGAAACCCAAGAACAATGGGTCTGGGAGGTAGGATACCAGCTGGTGGTACTGCAACACGGACCTGAACGACTCGGCTCTGCTCAGTCAACAGAGTTTGGAACTGATTTGGCTAATTTGGCTTAAGGCATGAAATAAAAATAAAACGTTTGTACTATATGCAAGTAGGTATAAAAGTTCTGCTTGAAAGTGTGTTTATGGCATAGCTGTGCTAAAACTTGCAGAAGTTTCAAAAAAAGTCAAATGAATTATTTCTGGCTGAACAAAGCCTACGGTACCTGTAGTAATTTGCCTACTTTCAAATAACTAGAGGTGTGCTCATTTCAAAATCAGCACTTTGAAATTTGCCCCTTGCTTCCCCATGCTCAGGGGGGGCAGCGTGTGACAGCAAGGGATGGGGAGGGGCTGCAAGAGGATGAAGTTGAGGGGGCAGAGGACAAAGGGGCCATGCGACCCCCCCCCCCCCCCCCCCAGATTTATTTTCTCTGCTGTAGCAGTGGGAAAGGGACAAATTCAAGGCAAGCCTCCAATAATTAGATTCTATACCTGGAAAATTATAACAAATGTATACATTTTCCATATATACAATTGAATTTTTTGTGGGGGTGTCATCTTATAATCAGGGTTCTCTTATATTTGAGTAAATATGATAAGGTTTGGGGTTTTTTTTGTAATAATAAGGTCTCTTTTTGAAGCCCTGCCTGCTATTACTTTCTTCTGAAACATTTTACTCTTCCTCCAGGTTGAGGGAACCTGATTTCCCAGGGAAGGGTATTGTGCATTGTGGTGATGGTGTAGGAATAATATACACGAGCAACTCGCAGCTAACAGAGTATCTTAAGAGCTAGAGGGCTTTACCTGCTGCAAGGTGTTGATTCATCTCGGCGGTCCTGACAGTTTTGGTGTGAAGACCACGACGCCTATTCCTTTAAACAAATGCTGAGTGCATAATGTAGGAAGAAATCTGGTCAGCAACTGTTGTAGGTGCCCTGGAAACTTCTGTTGCTTGGATGATTAAGGGTTGATTTTTCAAGTCCGGGGAGGCATTTCTTTGCAGCAAGCCCAGGTATTGTTGGTAAAGCTCGTGGACTCGGAGATGAGGATGCCAGCAGGTTGGGAGTTATGGCTGTGTCTCCAAGAAGGCAGAGAGGAAAAGAAATGGGCCTGAGCTGTCTTTGGCAAGGCGGCTGATTTGGGAAGCTGAACCTGGTGGAGAGAGTAGCTATACGTCTGATGGGGAGAGTAGTGCAGGGAAGGCTGGGTCGAAACGGAGCGGGGAGAGCCGAGGGAGTTGAGGGGTCTGTATGGGATACGGCACTGTAGAGGTTTCCATTATTAATGAGCACATACCAGGGTGAACTCCACGAGCATCCCAAAGAAGAACGGACGCCTTAGAGGGTGTAATTCCTCCATGGTCCTCGGAGCACAGAGCTGTTTGGTGGAGTGGACAGAAGGAAGGATATAAGCTGAGGTGGGTTCTGGAGCGGACTGGATCAATGACAGGAATGGATTAAATTGTAAGTATGCTGAGGATGCCGCAGGTTATTTGGTAATTACACTGCAATAGCTTAAACGATCGCCGTAGAGCCTGGACTAACACTTGGTACTTCCGTAGCTCTCTGCAAAGGACGAATGTTAGCCAGCCCGTCCAACAAGCCTGCAGTGTTATCTCCGGTTAGCACGGGGCTAAGGGGGCAAGGTTGTGTCCAGGATTGCGCAGAGCAGGACCCGAATCGGCTGACTTTCAGTCTTTTCCTGTGGCCATTAGGTCACGTTCCTCATCAGCCAAGGCAGACATATGGATGTCGCTGGCTTTTATTTACAGGGTAGCAAACAAGCCCCAGTTCTTGCCATATAAGAAGATTTATTGAAGTGCTCGCCTTCAGGATGAAGGATTGTCCCCCGGGGAGCTAGGCATGCTACTCCGTTAATTTTCTTGCAGCAAATTGCTGCAGTCTCCAAGCAGCTGAGTTGAGTGTTTTGAAGGCAGAGATGGGTTTTCAGCGTTCCCTTAATTTTGCCTGTTGGGGAGGCAGTTTTCTCTTGAGGTGTAAAACGCCGCATTTACAAAGCGGCATTTCTTGAGGAGACAAGCCATGTAGATAGCGAGCAGGGCATGGGAAACGTTGAAGCCCTGTTCGGATAATGGGGCGTAGCGACGTTGTTCCACGGCCGGACTCCAAGTGCTGTCTGTAAAGCCGCACGCTGCGGTCCCACCTCATCAGATCGTGAATATGAAAGGTCCCTTAAGCTCCAGGGCTGGGGTTGTGAAAGGGGGCAACGGGAAAGTTGGTGAAAGTCGGGTCCTTAAAAGCGCGGGCGGAGAATCGAATTGCAGCAAGTTAAAAGAGGATGCAAAACATCCGAGCAGCAGCTGGCACTCGGGTAATTGCCCGTCTGCCTGCTCTTGCCTTGTGGTAAGCAAAAGTGGGCAACTGAGCCCTGTTTCATTCTGGGTTGGGCTGCCCCGGGATAGCTTTCCCTCGCCACGGAGCATGCAACTGCTTTTCATGGCAAGTCTCTGCCTCTTGTTAACTTGCTGTAGTTTAATCATTTGTCCATCCTCTATACCAGGTAAGAAACCCCCCGCTTTCTATTCCTTCTCTGACCGGACATTGCAACTGCAAACCTCGCCTCCTCCATCACCGCCGTATCTCCGAAGGTAGTGCCATCACCAAAGACATTTTTGCCCAGTGGGTTTTGTCTTGTGTGAGGTTTTTTTGTTTTGTTTTTTGCAGCGACAAAAATCCACGGATTAAAATGCACTTTGGGCTCAAAAGCCGTTGTTTTTGGATGCAAGCGAAGCCTCCCACGCCGAAATGTATTTTATAGGCCATAATCAGCTGCTGAGTATGCCAGACAAATACAAGCTCATCAAAAAGGCCTTTCATTGCAGGAAGACATATTTTAAAATAAATGGCCTCTTTAGTTTGAAAGTATTGTTTGGTTTTGGACTTGGCCTGAAACATTTTTCTCATATAAGGCCAAACTGTTCTTCGTCTGTAGAGCGCAGTCCTCTCATCCCCTCTGCCCTTGTCCTGCAACTCAAAGGCTTACTAAATCACTGAAAATTGGGCCTGGTAACAGGAGGCCTGACAGGCATCTGGCCATAGCTGCAAAACGAAGCACTGTAGTAACGTTGGTATTCTGCATGCAGATTTCCTGCCAAAATTTGCTCGCTAAGGGTGAAGTTTTCTCCTGTACATCATGCTGTCGTGATGTGCCGCTTAATCCCTGGAAAAGTTATTACAAAGCCCATTCGGTAGCCTGTATCTTCCCCTGAAGATGCAGTGGAGGTGTTAGGACTGTCAGGTTGGGTCGTCGATATATAAGTAGTATTTGGAATCGAAACTCGTGGACCTCTTTTATTAGACCAAGTAAATATAAGTTGCTCTAATAAAAATAAAATAAGAGGTGATCTCTTTTATTAGACCAACTAAATATTTGAATAAGTAGTGCTTGAGCTTTCTGCCATTCTTTGCACAGGGAAGCATTTTCCCCTCGGGGAGCTTGCAGTCTCTGCAGGCAAAGCCCTGGTCACTTTGGTGAGAGAGACGGGTGTATAAAACAGCTGGGTGACCATTGGGCATTTACTTTCTGTGGTGGTAGGGAGATGGTCTTTGCAAAATGCAAGCCTTGCAGTCGACCTGTTCGAATAAGATCCTGCATAATACCCTGCTGCAATACGTTAAGCTAGACGTTACCATTATTTACTGCTGGTCTGTAACTCGAGCGCGGGGAGGAACCCTTCCATTATACAGCTATTCTATATAATAGGCTGCAAGGGGAGTGAGAGTCAAGCTTCAATGGATATGAAAAGGTGGACAAACCTTGGGGGTTATGTAAACGTGTGTGGAAATGCGTGTGCAAGTCACCTGACCGACTTAAGGAAGCCTCCAGCCTTCCTTTCCATCTTCTGTCCTCGCTTAGCAGGTGCCCGACCCTGCAAACCCTGATGTGCCGGCGTCACTGCTGGATCTACCCGTGACATTTTGCTAGGCATATTCAGGGTCAAGGACTTTTCTGTCAGGATCACAGAGGAGCATGTGTGCGCCAGATCTCCAGCTGCTTTAAATGATCGTAGCACCAGAGGTGTCAGTGGAGGTGCAGCTGAGGATGTGGCCCTGTGCATTTTGAAAGCCGACATAATTGGAGAGCGAGCTAGAAGCGGGGAGCTCCGTGCCTCGGCGTCCCGCCGGGGCTCCGTGACCTCCTGGCTGATACAGACTTCCATACCTGTTTTAGGTGACCCTTTCCCTTCTAACAGAAAGCAAACCCTTGGGACGGTTCACAGAATGGCCCTTTAAACAGAATATTTTATACTCTGAAGAGCTCAGTGTGACACAACAGTGAAAGGATTTGATGTATTTCAAAGACCACCGGAAGCCTGAAAAGCATTTAGCAAGTAAGCTACCGGAGGCAAGCAGCTTTTGAGCTACTCCGGGCTCTTCCGTGATGCATGCGTCAGCTCTGCAACCCCTACGCGTGCATTTTGCTTACGGCTTTTCTTTCCCTCCCCCATTCCCCTTTTGGCTTGTTTGTTTGCAGAAAAAAATGGACAGCCGGGAGTACCAGGATGCTCAGGGCTTCGCAGCGGATATTCGGTTAATGTTCTCTAATTGTTACAAGTACAATCCTCCAGACCACGAAGTTGTAGCCATGGCCAGGAAGCTCCAGGTAACGGTGTTGGCAAGCACATCCCTCCCCACCCCACCGTTCCCGTCTGCAAGTTTACTGTAGTGCTGCCGTAGTGGGAGCATTCGGTGGTCTGAGCATACTCCTCTCTTCTTGGTGTCTTTCTCAGGGGGGTCCATGACTTCTCCAGTCTTTGGAAAGGGCCCTTATAACCTTTGAAGAGGGGACAGCCTAGGTTTCCAAAAGATTGGAAGACCACCCAAGCCAGCAGCCCATTGGGCTAGTGTGTTTGGGACACGGCGGGTGCTCCCCTTTTCAACTGGATGATAACGCTCTTTCAACGTGCGATGCAAAGCTGAACTCAATTCCAAGCCAAAGGCAGGGTAGAGGTGCACCTTATACACTAACTGAATCAGATGCATAAGCTTTAGTGAGCTGTAATACCTCGCCATTGCCTTGTAAAGTAAGAGGAGAATGTCCTTGGCCTTGCACGGTATACTCCTTCGAGCACTCTCCTTTGCAGAGCTGGGAGCTGTTGTGCAATCGGAAAACTATGCTAGCAATGTAGCAGCCTAACGCCAGTGTCCAAGGTTTCTGCAGCAGATGTTCTCACACTTGCTAACAAGAAGTCCAGTTAGTGTCAGAGGTTAGGGAATTTACCCCAGGAGTGTGTGGAAGAGCCAACTGCTTCCACCAGTCAGCGACGGGGCTGTCATTAGGAAAGGAAACCCACAGAAAGGCACTTTGGCACTATCAGACAGCATCAAACCCTGGGTCCATCTGGTGCCAGGGAAAGGTAGAAAAACCTCAGAGGAAGTAGATCATTTGCCCTCAACTGAGATCTCACCCTGATCTCCAATAGCGAGTGATTCAGAAAATATTAAAGGAGAGTTTTCCTTTGACTTCAAAGGAGCTTGATCAGCGGCGTTCCCTCTGAGCTGCACGGCCACGCAGGCACGCTCGTCCCACGCTGCCAGGTGCGCCTGCACGGCCGTGCACGCCACACAGCTTAGAGCGAACGCTGTTGATCGGCCCCTTAAGATCATAGACCGAAAGCTTTCTGGTACCAGGATTGTCTTTTTTTTGATCACTTGTCTGTACAGCCCCTAGCACAGCAGGGTCCTGACACTTGATTGGGATTCCTAGTCGGAGGTGTAGCCCATCGAGCCAGGTTTTGTAGCTAATGGCACACAAGAGTAACGCAGTTAGCATGATGTCGGGTTACCATTGACTCCCCAGACTGCATGACCGGGCACCCGTATCCAGCTGGGCCAGCCAGTGCTACTGTATTTACAAATATAACTATCTTAAAAGAGGCAGAGTGAGGGCTTGGTCCCCCTGACTCCAGCCATTTCTGCAGGACGTCTTTGAGATGAGATTCGCAAAGATGCCGGATGAGCCTGCGGAGCCACCCCCGCCGCCGCCTCCGACGGCACCGGTGGTGAGCAAAAGCACGGAAAGCAGCCACAGCAGCGAGGAGAGCTCGTCGGACTCGGACACCTCCGACTCCGAAGAGGAGCGAGCGACCAGGCTGGCTGAGCTCCAGGAGCAGGTGAGGAGCAGGGCCGCAGCCTCGTTGGGTGGCCGCATGCGTGGTATGCCTCTGTATAAGGCGGAGTAGAGCCACGTTTGAGGAGGGGGCAGTTTTCCCCTAGGAAGTCTGTTGTGGCTGGGAGCGTTTTCAGAGCAGGGAAGAAACGTGGTGGGTAGAATAATGTGAATTCTTCTTCCCAGCGGCAAGAGCTGGCATTGACATTGCATGCTTCCTCCAAGGGTCCCAAAGTGTGTAGGACTGACTCCTGAGTGCCAGCAGTTAGCACCAAAAAACACTCCACCCATTTTATGCTCTTTTCCGCCAGAGATGTCAAATTGTCATTAGCCTGCAAAATAGGAAGAGTTTCTGCCCAGGTGTCACTTCTGAGTACATGTACCTAGAGATTTAAAGGGAGTTTTCCCAACCCAAGAGAGATCCAGAGTAAAATCAATACACTCAACCCAGTCCGTGGCTTTCAGCTTCAAAGGTGCAAGTGCGAGACCGAGCATGCGTGACGCCTGGTGTGTTCATGCTGGGGTTTGACTGTCGTCTTTTCCTTCAGCTGAAAGCCGTCCACGAGCAGCTTGCAGCCCTGTCCCAAGCACCAGTGAACAAACCAAAGAAAAAGAAAGAGAAGAAGGAGAAAGAGAAGAAAAAGAAAGACAAGGATAAAGAGAAAGAAAAAGAGAAGCACAAAGTGAAAGCGGAGGAGGAGAAGAAGCCTAAGGTGGCCCAGCCAGCAAAGCAGACCCAGCAGAAAAAAGCACCAGCTAAAAAAGCAAACAGTACGACCACAGCCAACAGGTGGGTCTTTGGCCCCTTCTCGCATGTCTGGATGAGTTAACTTTTCCCATTGACGTAGGTAAATGCTTGCATATCTGGTCGAATGACTGTTGCGTTGCCCTCACCTAGCAAGGGGCAAACCACAAGGTCCGATGGGTCACATCACCCAGACTGTCTGTCTAAAATAGGGATGAGTAAGACTGGGTGGGAATTTCAGTAGCATTAGGCCAATGCCACTTTCCGTTCATGTTGAAATCCATGGTGATGAAGTTCCCAATGACTTCAAGCGAGAGCATAGTCAGCTAAGCCCATCCTCAAAGCACACATGTTAGTAGGAACCGCTGGAGTCTGGAAAACGGAGCTGGGGATGGATCCGTCCCATTTCTGATACCCCATCACTAATGGTGATGAGACTGGGCTTTTGTTTTTTGCTTTTTTGGTAGTCCAGTCAGCCAGAACATGGCACTTCAGCTCTTCTGTTCCAGTCCTAGCTGGATCCCAGTCTTGTAGAAGCACCTGTAACAGTTAAAAATACCCAGTGGAGAGATGAGACTGCCAAGTTAAGCCCATGTTTCAGAACTATCCAAAACCTTAATGCTGTACAGAGCGGCCTGGATTGGGGTTGATCCTTTTGGGCCAAATTCTAGTCCCGCTGTCATCACTGGGCGACTTCAACCTCTTGAGCTGGTCTTATTCATCCCTGTTTTAGACACACCGTGAAACATAGAAAAGGCCCTAATGCCATGCAAGCGAAGCCAGCTGAGAAGGCTGTCTTGTTCCTGCT